GTTTCACAACCCTCATCCTAAACCCTATAACCGTAACCCTAAACCCTAAACCCTAAACCATAAACCCAGTTACCCAAAACCATATAACCCTAAACGCCCTAAACCCCTGAAGCCCTAAAACCCTAAACCCTAAACCCTAAATCCTATAAACTTAAACCCTATAACCGTAACCCTAAACCCTATAACCCTAAACCCTATAACCCTTAAGCCTGAACCCTCAACCCCAAGCCTTCCAGGCACGAAAACCGCCTCGTACGCTTCGTTGCACGCGCCGCGCCAGAGCTCCAGGAGGTGCCGCCTCCCGCATCTTCCGCGAGTTGTTAGGTTTAGAGGGTTTAGGGTTTAGGGTTTAGGGTTTAGGCTTTAGAGTTTAGCCTAAACGTTTAGCAGTTTGGGAGTTTCCGAAAATAAGGGGTACCTTATGTTGGGGTCCTTATAATAAGGATCCTATTATTTAGGGTACTATATTGGGGTCCCCTATTTTCGGAACCGCCCCATTTAAGGTCAACGTTTCCTAAACCCTAAACCCTATAGACCCTAAACCCTAAACCCTATAGACCCTACAAACCCTAAACCCTAACCCTAAACCCTGAACCATGGCGTGACGTGAGCACGGTTCACCAGTCCGCAACCGAGAGTCGAGACCTGCGCCACATTCCGCTAGGCCTCGCTAATGTAGGGGTCTTAATAATTAGAATAGGGTTTTGGGGGCTCCGTATTTCAGTTTATAAAAAAGACCCCCCAAAAATAGTATAGGTAATTATCAGGGCCACTACATGGCATGGAGACTTCCATCCCCCCGGAAGCTCTCAGAAGGACACGAGCAATAGCTGCACGTCAGCGCTTCGGCTGCCAGACGCCGCACGGCTTCACGTGTGCACATATATCTCTACATCCTCCACACCCACAACTCCTAAACGGTGTTTTTCGTTGAGGTTTAGGGGTTAAAGAGTCCTTTTAGCCTCCGTGTTCGTACGGATGGCATGGAGGATTGGGCCTGGCGTTAGGGCATCAGGATGCAGAGAGTTCGCAGGTGTTTGGCTTGGGGTCTCAGGGTTCCGATGTTGCAAGTTGAGAGTTGTTTGATGGCACGGTATACTGGCCAAGTGTACACCGAACCCTCAACCCAAACGTCTCTGAAGCCTCCATCCCTAATCCCCCAACCCTGCTTCACTTGTACTCCGCCGACGCCCTAAACCCTAAACCCCACAGCCCTGAACCCTCAACCCTGCAGCCCTGAAAACAAAAACCCTATATAGCCCTAAACTTTACATCCTAACCCTAAACTTGGCCCTAAACCCTAAGCCCGATAAACCTCTACAGCCTGCGGGGCAGTTTACGACGAGACTTCAGAGCCCTCTCGTCTTGTAGGGCTTCGGGGGTTCCTTCTTGCGGGGGAGAGGAAGTTTTCGGGTCTAGGGGTTTAGGCTGTAGGGCTTCGGGTGTTTTCGGGAAGCGTAGCAGGGTGAGTCTAGAGATTTAAAGACGATAAAACAACTTATGACGAGATGTAATTTAGCGGCCTTAATAATTGGAATAGGGTTTTGGGGCCCACTATACTATAGTTATAATAAGAAACCCCACAATAGTATTAGCAATTGTTTAAGCCCCTATATTTGCCGGAGACAGGCGGGTCCGGGGGCCCCCGCATGAACAAGCCACCTGAGCGACGGGAGTACACTAGGCACAGCAGTAATAATTAGTATATATATATATATATAGAGCGAGAGAGAGGTGGATAGATTCAAACCCTTATATGAGCGGGAACAGCATGTAACTGTACAGCGAGGAGGAGAGTACTGAGTACTGTGAAGGCTGGCTCCACGATAGCCAGTATCCTACGCAAAGGACTTTAAGTATGATGATTGGAAGGAAACTGTTCCACAGACATATCTGTACGTTCGACGGCAGAGCTGCAAGGAAACATGCTCCAAAACACCCGAGCCTGACTTGATTGCATGCAATTCTTAAGCGTAGAATGAGATTAAACCGTCAGCCCTGCCTTAAACCCACAACCGTTCACCATTTAAGCCTGGAAATGCAGAGATTGGGTTCCTGAAGTGCCATACCCAACTGTCCGAGAATTCAGAACTCCGAAACACTCTAACGCACATATCCCAGATATTGGAAGAACTGCAGCCTAGGGTTCACGAATCCGTGAGGGCCCGCACGCCCAAAAAGCCCCACGTGCACAGCCCTAAGTAGGATAGAGGATACTTGCCCACATGGGCTTGAGGGCAATGGCCCCGGCTCCGGGCTTGGAACTGAGCCTGAAGCTGTTCACGGCTGTTGTGGGGTAAGTGAATTGGGCGATCGAATGGCTCAAGTCCCATGAAGTAGGGTATGTTAGCAGAGGGGATCCCTCCACCCTAAACCCTATAGATAGGATTTCGGCAATGCCCCAGGCCCTCCATTCCAAATCCTGAAGCTTGCTCCCTAACCCTACAAAGACCAACGGATATTTAAATACGGCCTCAACTCTCGGAAGCATGAACCTGGCGCCACATGTAGGGGCCTTCTCTCATCAGAATAGGGTTTGGGGTATACTATACTATAAGTTATAACAAGGAATCGCCAAAACCCTATTCTAATTGTGGAGGCCCCTACATTGAACCTGCTGTCGCTGTAACCCGCGAAAAGCCCCGAAGTCCCGTGCATGCCGCCTACGAATGTTCAAGCCCCTAGCCTCTGAAGGCCTGGGCCCAAAGTCCTACAAACCTAAACCCTAAACCCTAAACCCTAAACCCCCCGGGAAACCGACACTGAACTTGAAAAATCTCCGAAGCTGGGCAGCCGGCTAGTCTTCTCGCCCTGCATGGCGACAGAAGCCGAAACAAGGGGCTTTCTCCATTGCGGATTAGTAACCTAAGTGCTAAGCCCAGACCATGTAAACCCTAAATCCAAACACTGGAGAAAGGCTGCATCGAGCAACTGGGCAGCGTGCCTGAAAACCCACAACCACGAGCATGCGTCACACAAGAATTCCTAAACCCTGAAGCCTAAAACCCAAGAGCCCTAGACCCTAAACCCGAACCATTTGGGGTTTGGGCTGTGGTCTCGGCTGTGGGTTTAACGGCTGGCCTGGTTTGTTTTCCCCGGTTCCCGGTTTGGGCCTCTGGCCCTGTAGGGTTTAGATTTTAGGGCAAGTTAAGGGTGTAGTTTAGGGATTGGGGTGTATGGGTTAGGGCTCAGGGTTGTCACAGGTGCTTGGGGTTCTGTAGGGGCCTCAACAAATTTAGAATGGGGTTTTGAGGCATATGATACTGTAAGTCCACTAAGGATCCCCCAAAATAGTATTGGCTATGGGTAATTACTTAGGCCCCTACGTTAAAGCAACTCTAATACAACCTTGAAAACACCCTAAACCCTAAACCCTAAACCCTAAACCCTAAACTCGAACCCCAAAGTTCCGAGCAGCTAAGGAACCCCGGACGGCGTGAGAAACCCCGAACTCTGTAATGTGGGGGCCTTGGTAATTAGATTTGGGTTTTGGGGGGTTCCTTTAAAGGGCTCTTTAAAGGGTTCTATAAGGGCTACGATTAAGGGTTTGGGGTGTAGAGGCTTCATAATTAGATTGAAGAATAAAATTTTGGTAATCCTAAACCCTAAACCCTAAACCCTAAACCGTAATTATCTTCTTTAGGCCCCTGTGGTAAACCCTTAAGGAACACCTCGCCTTGAAACCTAACCCCTCGAAGCCGAAACCATGATGTAGGGGCCCAAATAATTACCCATACATTTTTTTGGGGGGTTCCTTTTTATGATCATAGTAGAATGGGCCCCCAAAACCCTGTTCTAATTACTAAGGCCCCTACACCCTAAACCCTTGTAGTAGCCCTTTTATAGACCCTTCAAGGAACTCTTCAACGGACCACCCCCCCCCAACAAAAAAACCAAAAAACCTATTTTCATTATTAAGGCCCCTACATTCGGCCGCCCCGCCTGGGTGCTCAAGAGTCCTTCCACCAAGCGTCGTCGGGCGACCCCCATCTGCTTGATGCGCGCCTAGGGTTTAGGGTTTAGGGTTTAGGGTAGCGTTTAGGGTTTCAAGCTTCCTGCAAACTTTAAAGGACTCCGTGTGAGAGTGTTATGTCTCGTTTTCTACACGGAATCTTCGGCTTCAGGTTTAGTGTTTTTGGGCTTAGGGCTTCTTGGTTTCCTTTGGTGAAAGGTTCGTTTCCTGGGGGTGCGATTTAAAGGCTTTCCTGAGGTTGTTCGAGGGTTTGGTTTAGAGACTTCTATAACCTACGGCCCACGACCCCTTCGGCCAAGCGCTTGTGGCTTTCGGTGTGTCACACCTTGTGATTCAAGCCTAAACCTTCAACCTCGGAGTGATGGTGTGGTCAATCTCGACAGCGCTGGTAATATGGCTGAGACATGCTGCGACGGAGGAGTCAGAGTACCGTTCAAACAACTGGCATGTGGGGGTTTCCGAAAGTTGGGGGGGGCCCTCATATAGTACCCTAAATAGTAGGATCCTTCATATAAGGACCCCAGAATAAGATACCCATTATTTTCGGAAACTCCCATGTTACCCTGAGCCCTGAACCTCCTGCCTCGCTGCCCGATGTCTGAGAAGGAGCTCGTGAGTGGAAATCGCACTTTTTCGCGGTGGCCAACTCCGAATGAGCAATGCTTTGGGCCCCTGTACAAGTCATGTACAAGTCATTTGGAAGGATAGACATTAACAACATCAACAGCCGATACTATACTATACCGTGATATAACTCGCTTTCGCAATGGATGTGCATGTGAGAATGCACCATGGAGGCAGAGCTTTCGTCCACACCATAGATCAAAGTATTTGGTGCCCGTCTCAAGTATGAGAAGCACGACACACCTCGGTACACAAAGCCGAATTGCGTTCAAAGGCTGGGCAGAACCAACTACATATAGTAGCAGGCTGGGTACAACAGCGTGCATCATGAGTGCACCTGGTAGAGTTCTACATCGGACCACTTGTGGATAATTACAGCCTTCCACAAGCCTTGCTTACCCCTTCAGTTTGGCTTAAAATCCACCTCATAATTCTCGCCATATCCCGGATTCACCTGCCAGCGGCAAATGGCGCCGTTGAATGTTTCCACACGAACATCAGGCTGCGCCGGCCCTTTGGCTGTGATGACGAAGACACAAGCCATGCTGGTGAAAGTGGTAACAGAGCTTGCAGCTAGCTGCAGCAAACAACCGTCGGTGTCGTCTTCACAGTCCTTCTTTGAGGCTGACTTCTCCATGAGCCGCCCAGAGTGCTGATCTTGGCTGGAAGGGCTCAGTAGATTCAAGGGCTCCGCACTGCTTCTCACCACTGTAAGGGTGTATGCAATGTCGAAATCGGCACCTGGCCCGAACTCGAAGCCGAAGCTGGTGTTAGCAGCAGGCTCAATCTCGAATGTTGACAAGCTGGAGCAGTTGTGCGAGTAGAATTCCGCAGCCGACCCCTCATTGATACCTGAGAGCTCAGCCTTCCAGATCCCTCGCATTGCAGTGACTGTGTGCCACGTGTGAACTCCTGGACAGTGGGGTGCCGCGCACAAGGACCTCACACACAAACAGATGCAAAGAACGCCGAAGCAGATCAGTTTCTGACCTGCCATGTCTGAGAAGAAACTCGCGCTCAGTCAGTATCTGTTAGAGCTTGCTGGCTGCAGAATGCTGCGGAGACAAGTCCGTGTCTTGTTGGCACAGGAAGACGACGTGTCCAGGACACGGCGCTCTGCTTTAGCTTACGACCCTCGCAACATGCCCTGATACCTCCGGAGACCCAGGCATGCCACTTGCAGCGCCCAAAGCAAAGGTAATTAAGCCGCTACATATCGGTGACTGGAGGTGTAGGGTGCCGTGAGCCCTGAACACAAATGTCCGAACTGACAGGGCCTAATAGCTGGGGCCACAGCCAAGAAGATCTGCGTGGAGTGCCAGAGGTCGAAGGAGGTACGAAGCAGCGTGGACGCCTGCCAAAATAAGCGTGGAGGAATCCTCATTGACTCGTGCATGCTTCTGAGAAGCTGCTGCAAGTATGAGGCCTTTCTGACGGTTCAGTATGTAGAGGGTGTGTAACAGGGTCTGAAATGTTTAGCATAGATCGCTCTATCAGGCCTTCTATAGGGCTACAGCTACCTGAAAGGTCGGATTTAGGGCTTTAGGGGTTTAGGTAATGTAGCGGCCTTAATGCTTAGAATAGGGTTTGGGCCCCTTTGTAGTATAGTCACAATAAGCAACCATAAGGAATAATGCTAGTAATTCTATGATTTAGGCTTCTACAGTAGGTTGCTATGAGGCAACTCCCCTTCAATAGTATAGTCATAATAAGCAACCGTAAGGCGACAAGCTAGTAATTGTATGATTTAGGCGACAACAGTAGGTTACTATAAAACAACTGGAGCACACTGTGAGCCATGGGAGTGTGCAGGAACCTCTAAGGCCCCGAACCACGCTGTAAATCCTGCAGGCACAACAAATAGTGTAGGGGCCTTGATGACTAGAATAGGGTTTTGGGCTCCTTTATAGTACTAAATAACTAGAATAGGGTTTTGGGCTCCTTTATAGTACTACTATACTAAGGAACCCAAACAGTAATATTGGCAATTATTTAGGCTTCTATACTAACTTGTAGAGCAAGATTGTCCGAAATGTCAACTAGACTTTGAAGTAACTAGGGAGACAAAAGTATAGACTTTAATTTCATAATGGTTCCCTTAAGGAACAGGTCCCCCAAAAAAGTATTCAAGTATGGTACTCCAGAACCCAGTCAAGCTCACGGCTTGTCTTTCGGCTGCCAGCCTCGTCTTGTGCCCAGATGGTTGCCACACGTTGCAGGAGCGCCTTCCCTGACAACGAGTGCTGCTCACGGACCCCCGAATATAATATGATACAGTATGTTATGGTAGAGTATACGACAATAACCTGCTATGACTTGACTGGAACCAGGTTCCAGTTATCATGGTCATCAAGGAATGGGGTAGATGAATCGCGTTGCTACACCAATCTATGGCATGATCTGCGACTCTGTCAGTAGTACATAATAGGAGCCAAAATGATAGAGGCTGCGTGGCCCTTGTACCCTTTGGCTGAAGTAGCAGGAAACAGCCAGCGCCTGTCCTCTGATTTGGAAGTCTCTAGTTCCAGGAGTTAGGATTAAGGGGACCCTTGAGGATATAGACCCTCTCAAATTAAGAAGGGTCCCCCTTTAAGGGGTCTCCCTAATCCTATGGTTTAGGGCCTAGGACTAAAGGTATAGGGTGAAGAGTTTAGGGTCCAAAGACTTTAGGGTGCTAGACATGCCAACCCCAATACAAAGTGCTTCCCTGCAATACACATGTCGCATCAATTCGATGAGAGTTTGGGCTTACATACTATGGCTTCCAAGATGCGCTTAAGCTCTACCCATATCCCCAACCGCACAAAGTAGCAGGATATGGCCCCATAATTACAGGCAATCACACCCTAAACCCTCTACTATCCTATAACCCGAAATTACCCTTTGTTAATCATAGACATTCGGAAAACCAGGAGCTCCATCATCTCCCCCTGCCCTACAATGAGACGCGGGCCTTCTAGGTTATGTGGGGTTTTAGAAGAGGATTTCATGAATTTACGGTTTAGGGGTTTAGGGGTTCACGGTTTAGGCTTGAGGGTTATTTGCTTTCATCTGACTTGTTATAAGGGTTTCCAGCGGCGTTGACGATTAGAATGGGGCTGGCTCGCATACTATGGCACAGTCACATCAACGCCGCCATAAGGCGGAGATTGGCACTATAAAGCCCAAAGAAGTCCCAAGGCCCCAACAGAAGCTAGAATCAGCTAGAAGATGGTTTGGGGTTTAGCCATTTAGCATGTCTCCTTTCAGGGTTGAGGGCTTCGAACTTTAAGTACAGGGTTTAGGGAACACTGAAACCCGGGACATCCCGAACTCTGACACCCCACCAGACCAAAGAGCCGAGTTGCGCATGTCGATCTTGCGATGGAAAAGTGCAGATTCCCGCGACCTAAAATGGGGGCTTGGGGAAGACTTCTCCCTAAACCCTAAACCCTAAACCTTCTGGCAGGTTGCAGGTACCCGACACTCTAAAGCAGCCTAAATCCTAAACTCCTGTCAGCAAATCTTGTAAACAAGCCACAAAGCTCGCAAGAAACCGCGAAGCTTTGGGGAGACCTCATCAAAACAGCATAATTCAACCGCCCTGAAACCCCAGGAAGACCTTGTAAGCACCCTATGTGAGCCACTACATCATATATATATATATATATATCCAACCCTGTGAAAACCTGAAAACAACGATAGTACAACAAAAAAACCCTGCAAACTCCTTTGTAACGCATTACAAAACCCAAAAACCCCTCTGCGGCTCAATCTTCTGGGATTCCCGGGCTCGGTAAGCGCTCGGCACCACTCTTGGAAAGCCCGCGCCTTGGAAACTCTTCGGTGTAGAATAATTGAATTTAACCCTAACCTCCCAGGTTACTATATAGGGCCCTAGGGGCTCTAGTACCCTATATAGTAGGTACCTGGGGGGTTAGGGTGATTCAGTTGAGTCCGGTGATTTAAGGCTTCCGGATTCACCAGCGGTTTTTTCGACAGTTGCAACAACATTGCGAGGCTGAAGCGGCGTCTTGACGCTGTGCCCGGTGCATGCAGGCCCAACATACCGATGCAGCAACTCAGCTGCCCTCTTGGCATCTTCACAAGCAGCATGCGGGGCAACTCGTGTTTGGCACTGGCTCACGGATAATTCCTCTTAAGCAGTGGGTAGCACCATCGAGGTGTCCATGCCCTGCAGTCCACCAAATGTTTGGAGTCATGCCGAGTGCTCGTTTCGGTCACGTATCTGTTATGCCCAAGCCGGCGGCGGTTATCGGGGTCGATTACATGGCCACTCTTGGCTATCCTGCTATAGTGTATTATAGTATAGTGTAGTATATTAGTATAGTGTAGTATATGATAGGGCTGTCTGAATCCCGGCATGTTAGGGGCCAGTAGCCCGCATATAAACACAAAAAGGTTGACTCCCTTCTCGTTTAAAGCTCTCCTCTCAAACCGCTTACTGATAGGCTGCTGGTGGCTCTTACACAAGGGCCCTTGCTGCCGTTGCTATCGTATACTCTTCAGGGTTTGGAGAATAGGGTTGTTGGTTACGACTGTTTAAGCTCGCAGTACTTACTATCCAGGGGTCCTTGCAACAGTATAATAACTTTTCTTCAGGATTTCTTTTCGGAGTTGATGAACCCGAGCCCCAAAGCCGAACTGTGGTTCTGACAGCGTGGCTCGTGGATGTTGGGGCTTTCTTATCTGGGTTCTTGGGGTCTACAATGTTTCTTAGGTTAAATTCGGGGGCTGGGGTCACAAAGTAAGCAAGAATACTAAATAACTATCAGTGATAAGGATTCGATGACATGGACCGCATGAATCATATGACCTGTGCCTATACGTGAGGCTTGGGGCTAAGATTGGGGTCCCTCCTTTTCAAAACGAATTCGTAGTTCCTGAACACGAACTGAGTAGATTTGTGATGTTGGGTATCTTTCGCTGCCAAATTCCCTAGCCCTGCCTTCCAGAAGTTAGCCGAACACCTAAACCGCAGTTCAGTAGACTGAAAATTGAAATAAAACCGGACTCCAGCCATTCGCCATTTCTGCTAGAATAAAACTCTCAACACTGATGGCTGCAGAGGTAGAGGGCCACAGAGTTGTGTTCGTGCACCACTAGCTTACTGTACACGGTTGGTAGCAAGACTAGTGACGAGTGACGGAGCCATCGGTATGCTCCTCGTCCCGATCTCGATGATGGTTTCAGTTCGTGATGGTGGAGGTTGTGGTGGTTGTGGAGATGCTCATACTGTTGCAGAAGAAGAAAAGGACTATGACAAGGACGCTGGTGATCAACTGCACCACCATCATCAACATGCTTCATCCTTGAGTTACATGCTGCACAGGTGCCGACAGGAAGTGCTTGCGCTGCGTCTCGCCGAGAGCCTAGCGATGGCCTACTGTTGAGCTCAACTTATAAAGGTAATTGGGCTGGGGCTCTGGGTTAAGATTTAACTTGCCATCTGAATTCGGGGAATTCGGATCAATTGTGTCAGCATGGGTTGACGTTGAGGATGCATATGTTTGCCACATTATTTGTGCTCTGCCGCACAAGTAGATTGCAGAAGAACGTCCCAACATTGGCATCATTTATGTTGCGAAAGCAGCCACAGCATCAAGCCAATCCTGGTTCCTGGCTAACAGTGCGACTGCCTGGGTGCTAGAGCTTAGAGAGAACGGAATACACAAAGCTCAAATTGATGCCAAAACACCAAACCGTAAACACCCAAAACCCCACAAACTCTCCAACCCTGACCCTCAAGTCTGAAAAAAAAAACCAAACCTAGCCTGAAATCACTAAAACACAAAACCCTGAGACATAAAAGGCAACCCCAAGACCGTAAACCCTGACATGAAACTGGTGCAGGACTCCTTGAGACTTTACGCCTCCATCATCCTTAAACCATGCCCCGGCCTCACCGGCGCCGAGCGTAAGTGCAGCCGACAATGCCGTCCCTGACAGGGCAGTCAATACCGCAGATCACGCCAGCGTTTACTAAAATTACCACCCGCTGAATAATTCACACACGGCGTCCGGAAACGCAATAATCAACCCCCCTCAGATACAAAAAAAGGATCCCTGGAATCGGTTCTTGTTGTCTGGTTGCTTTAGAAGCAGAGGCAGGGAATGAGCAGAGAGAAACTCTATCTGTTCGACTGCAGTAGCATTGCAGAAAAGAGCAAGCATATAATAGTATTCTAATACTAATAAACAGTATACTGATAAGACTTCACGGCAGAGAGTACGTCTACTGTACCTCTGTACTATTACTCCTGGGATCCCCCTTCAGAGCGGGCCGGGCCGGGGCTAAGAATCAACCAGGCGGGGCCGGGGGACAGGGGGGGGGTCCGGTCATTGTTAGAAACGTAGAGCTTGGCTCCGAATAACAAAAAAAGAGCACCTAGCCACACGGTCCGAGTCCTACCGGGAGGGCCTCTGAGACTCTCAAGAATCCCAGGGATCCCAAATGTGTACCACACTGTGGCCGTGCCACACGCCCTCGGCAACCACATCTCTTTGCACTGAACGAAAGAACTACCAAGCATAAGGGCCACCACACTCTTCGGGGCGCCAAGACGATCCTAAACCCTAAACCCTAAATCCTAAACCCAAAACCCTAAACCCTAAACCCTAAACAAGACGATGTTGAGGGGGCTTTAGACTTTCGGGATGTGGGATCTTCCGGGGCTTCTGTCTCCTTAGGAGCATAAGAACTAGAATAGGGTTTTGGGGCCCCATTATACTGTCATTCGAGTAAGGAACCCTCAAAATAGTGTAGGTAATTAGTTAGGGCTCTTTGTTTTTTTAAGAACTCAAAGAGGATGGTTATGTTCAGGGCCAGAGCGCGTGGTGGGGAGGTTTGGGAGATGTCGCTACAAAGGCCTGTGCAGGGACCTTGATCATGAGAATAAGGTCTGGGGGTTTTAGATTTTACTATAAATAGCAAGGAACCCTAAGGAATAGTATCAACTACGTATTGCTACAAAATATTCAGGCTGCTACGTCTCTTACCCGACCCACGGCCTGTTGCTGCGCGCTCCTTAGCACGGCATGTTACAGCTGCGCCCCGCAAAGACCACATTGACCCTAAACCCTAAACCATAAACCTTAAAATTGACCCTGAACCCTCAACCCCTACACCCTAGCCATAGGCCCCATAGTAGTTCCGTTTTGGGGATTACCTGATAGGATTCTAAACATGAACCCCGAAAAGGAACTGCTATGGGGCCTATGGGTAAAGCCAAAGGTGTTCCTGGGCTTCAGGGCTCAGAAGGCCCCCTACCTGGGAAGTAGACCAAAGGGCCCCGCAAGGTTTGGGGTTTAGGGTTTAGGGTTTAGGGAAGAAAATGCATCCATGGGACCATGGAGGAAATGAAGAAACAAACCCTAAATTTCCTGAAGCTTACTTCCCAAAAGCCCTAACTCAACAGCTCTATAATGAGGGGGCCGTACTGCTTCGAATAGGTTTTTTTTGGGCGGGGGGTTCCTGATTATAAGTATAATATAGTATACCCCAAAACCCTATTCTAATTATTGAGGTCCCTACATTCATGGCTTTGGACTCAATGCTTTGGGTGAACACTTCTTCAACCCGGAAGGGAACTATTCGACGATGGCATCCCTTCTCCACACAGCTCCCTGGTTTGCATCTTCAGGGCTGGAACACAGAAAGCGGAATCACTAGACCACAGTTTCGGGGTTTCTGCACCGCATATGTGTTTTCAAAGCGTCCCTAAACCCTAAATCCTAAACCGTATATGGGTAGTTCTCTAAATTAGGGTCCCTTTTTGGGTCCCAAAATAGTACGGCACCCTTATAGAAAGGATCCTAAAAGTGACCCTAATTTAGAGAACTAACGATATGTATTTTTAAAAGCCTGTCTAACTCTTGTTCTGATTCCCATCTTGGAGTTCAAGGCCTAAGGCTTGGACTTCGCGTTAGGAACAGCCAAGTCGAGTTGCAAGGAGTACCGAATGCAGGTTACAGGTAGGCCAGGTCAAGTTCGCTGAGAATTTATATGTCCACCGGTGTCTGTGCATATGTATATATATATATATATATTATATATATATATATATTATATATATATATATATGTCCACGGGTTATGTGTATGTATATATATATATATATATGCACTTTGTGGAAGCAAGACAAAGGTTACTCTGTATGTATATGTATTGTGTATGCCTATATATAAATATAGATAGACATATCTCAATTCAGATTTCTGAATATGTTTTCGACAGGGCTGCCTCCGACTTACCCCTCCTAGCTGCCGGGATCTTGTTGGCCACCCGAAGGCCTCAACAGCCCCTGCAATATCCCTTCTCCGTCCCTATGATGCAACAACATCCAATCCGGACATAACCTACATAACCCTAAACCCTAAACCCTGAACCCTTAATGCTAATTAAACCGTTGCCGATATCCCGTCGAACTGCCCATAACTCAGACAGAAGATTATCGAAGGGAAACTCCGCAACTCCACAACTCTCCCGCAGTGTGGATCCAAGTCGAGGAGCACTGTATGCTCGCCAGCGCTGCAGCTTTTGCAAGCCAAGGTGAAACCTGACTGTCTGTAAGGGCTCCGGTCAGGCCTGACTTACGGTGGCTACCACAGGTTGGAACAATCCCGGCAGCCCAAAGTGCCCAGTACACCTAGCTGCAGCTACTTCGTAGTAATCAGTTGTACGTAAAAGTAGTTTTTGTTGAGTTTGTAGCCAGTAGTTAGCTAGTTAGGCCAGATAGTTCGGCTTGGGTCGTCGCAGTAGTAGTAGTGGTAGTGGTAGTAGTAGTAGTAGTAGTAGTAGTAGTAGTAGTCGTAGTAGTCGTAGTAGTAGTAGTAGTAGTAGTAGTAGTAGCAACAACAGTTGTAGTAGCGGTAGTAGTGGTGGTGGTAGTGGTAGTTGTCGTAGTAGCAGCAGTAGCAGCAGCAGCAATAACAGTTGTAGTAGCGGTAGTAGTGGTGGTAGTAGTAGTAGTAGCAGCAGCAGCAGTGGGCAGTTGCAATAGCATGACGCGGCGCCCACAAGGATGCACTGTGAATCGTCTACATGTCGGGTACCTTGCAGCAAACCATCGCGTGAAAGGCTTGTGCATTGGTAAAAAACCGGCTTTGGGGACGACAGAGTAGAGGCTGAGACGAATGCTTGTCCTACGGACGGTTGCCGCATTGCTCTAAGATTGCAACCATGGGCCCTTAACCCTGGGATCCTTATACACCCACTATATACCCTATATGTACTCTTGAGGGGTCCCTAGAAAGGGGTCCATATTAGGGGCCCGTACTTCTAACTTACCGGACTTGCTTTCCTAAACCCTAAACCCTATTACTAGAGTTCCCTGACGCCTGGAGCAACCTCTGTAGGTGTCCTGCCTGTCTCGGCCGCCATGTCTACGGACAAGGTTGCTCAGCCACCAACCTTGGGGCCAAAGGAAGTACTGTAGGGGCCTTAATAATCAGAATAGGGTTCCTTTAAAGGGATCCTTAAAGGGCTCTATACGGGATCTATGATAGGATTCTATACTACGGGCCTTCATAATTAGAATAAGGTTTTGGGGGATGCTCTACTATAACTCTAATACGGAGCCCGCCCAAAATAATATAGCTATTTCAAAAAGGCCCCATATAGCAGCGGAGCGAGGTCGCAGAGACGAGTCTTTCTCTAAGAGTCCATGTTCCATGTCCCTGTATACGAAAACGTGGTGCCTGTGCATATACCAAGATAGTATATTATATACATGTATATACGTTCTGGGTACATGGACCTTCAGGGCTGTTTGCACATCTGGAGACTGTCGCATCCCTGCTCTGTTCCTTTGCCTCGTGAAAGGCAGCGGCTCCTTCTAAGGTGTGTTGCAGGCATGCTCGGGCGAACTACGTTGTGTTTTTTGGGTCTGGGTTTAGTTTATCAAGTAGAATGTAGAGTTTAGGGGTTGAGATGTAGAGTGTGAATTTTGGAGAGCTTTGGGCTTAGGCCAGATCTACCCCAAACTCGTCAAGCTTCTAGCTTAAGCCCTACCTTAACCTACCAAAACCTACTTTTTTGTAGGGTCCCTATAAATTCCATATTAGGGTTTATAATAGGAACCTACAAAAAAAGCAGGGTTTAGTAGTTTAAGGTAATCCCAGCTGACCCGGCCGAAAGTCTCAAGCTTCTATGGGTCCCTGTCTGACTAGTAATACCATCCTAAACCCCAAAGCCTAAACCCCTAAACCCTAAACCCTAAGCCCTAAACCCCTAAACCCTAAACCCTAAAACCCTAAACCTCTAAACCCTAAACCCTAAACCGTTCCCTTGACTATACTGAACTTAAGACCCTACCAATAATTTAAAAACATGGCTGTTTCTCCGGGGTTTATATTAGCCAAAGATTAAGAATTATGCCTAAGTACCAGTTAACTGTTTCTTAGGGGTTATAATAGCCCAAGATTGAGAATTATGCCTAAGTACCCCCCCCTATAGTTGATTAAGAGCAGCCGCACGCGTAGTTATGCTTGCAGGAATTACAGGTCCCGGGCCGTGGAGCACCACAGCCTTCAAGGCACGACCCTGCCAACCGTTCGCTGGTGCTGGGGCGGGGGGGTTAGGGATCAGGATGAAGCTAATGTAGGTGCCTTAATTTTTGGGTTTAGGGTGTAGGGTTTAACAGGGTTTTGGGCTCCTTTACAGTATCCATATAATAAGGAGCTTTAATGAATAATATTGGGACTTATCCAGGCTCCTATATTACGGCCCCTCTTGTTTGGGCAGGCTGCTTGGAATAGAGATGCTGCTAGTACGGGACATTAACGGGCTTGGGGTGTCGTGTTTCGGGTAACAGTAAGGCCACCAAAAGGAACACGATAAGTTCACAAGAGCCGTGCAGGGAATTGGAGGTGTTGGGCATTCCTGTTGCGTTGTCCGGCTTCACCGAACCGCAATCTTCCCAATAAGTTCAAACTCCCTGATACCATGCTGTTAACTGATATCGCTCGATGCCAGACCTAACGAGTTCAGATTCTTAATAATTACCAAAAGAAGCACTTGAGAACCGACTCCAGGACATAAGGATGCACGAGGTCCATTCCACCAGCCCAAATCCAGCACCTAGGATACCCCGATCCGCCCAACAGGCAAAGAAGCTGCATCTACATTTTACATGCCTGGCTTCCACATCGTATTCAAGAAGCCGCTATCGTGAAGTGCTCGGTTCTAACCTCGTATTGCTACACCTGCCAGCCTACACTCTAAGTTCTGGTATCAAAATAAAACTCAGAATGCTATCCCTTCCGGATCTTATCTTAACTATACTATACTCAAATATCCCCTCTAATCACCCCCTATAGTAATTAACTCTAAACCCTAAACCCCTTATAGTAATTAATTCTTATAGACCCTTTTAAAAACTCTATTCCAACGATTGAGTGGCCAAGCAGCTGAGTGGAACCTGAGGCACCTCTCTAATATACGGGCCTTAATAATTCGAATAGGGTTTAGGGTTTAGGGTTTAGGGTTTTGGGGTCCATTATACTCTACTTATAACAGGGAGCCCACAGACATCATAATGTGCTCCGGCTTACGATCTTGGGGCAGATGTAGGGTTTATAGGGTTTAGACAGCCAGAAGAGCTTCGGGAGTTGAACGTCTCTGGCAAATCGAGCACCACCGACTCTAAAGACGACTCCGAGTTCGAAGACCTTGTAGGTTTAGGGTTCCAGCTTAAGGGTAATGTAGGGGCCTCAATAATTAGAACAGGGTTTTAAACAACAATTACCCTCCCGAGCCCTACTCCAAGTGTGCAAACAACACTTGTGAGACAACCCGACATGTGTAGTTCTCTAAATTAGGGTCCAGTTCATAAGGGTGCCGTTCTATTCTGGCGCCAAAAAGGACCCTGATTTAGAGAACTATCCACATGGCCGCCTGAAAGTCAAAGCATCCAGTTTCTGTAGCAAAGTTTCCCAAGCTTGCAGGGCATGATATTCAATCTGAAGACTTCGCATTCCAGGGTCTTCAAGGTTTTTAGATATTATACAACCCTAAATGAACCCTCAACCCCAAACCCTGGCCCTAAACCCTTATAAGCCCTGACCCTGCAAAATGGCCCCCTGCCTGATGTGCCAGGAGCTTCACTGCTATTCGGTCGGCTGCCGACACCCCTCGGCTTTGGCCAAGCTTACATACGAGTGCTCCGTGCTTGACCCAAAACTGTAAAAAAAACTACCCTAAACCCTAAACCCCTAAACCCAACCAAGAAAACTGTAACAACCTACCCTAAACCCTGAACCCCTAAACCCAAAATGTAAAAAAAAAAAGATGTAGGATGTTCAGGTTGCAAGAGGTCGTGCTGGAGGGCTTGCATTGGAAACCTGCGACCTGTCAACCTGGGCCCTGATCGACGTCAGCTTTAAAGCAGAGCCGCAAAAAAAAAACGACGGATACTAATACCCATCATAGTAATATTCGGTTTAGGGTTTAGGGTTTAGGGTACCCATAGTACTAAGAATACCTATTCTAATAATTATAGTAACTATGCATGATAATACCCATTATAGTACCAATGAACCATCGCACACAAAACCCCATTAGCCAGGAAGCCTTCAGGCCGACATTGGCCATAAACCTCTTACAAACACACCGTTGAGGTTTAGGGTTCAGGGTTTAGGGTTTAGGGTTTAGGGCTTAGGGTTTAGGGTTTAGGGTTATTTCTATGTGTACTAGCTACGTCTAGTAGGATTCCGCCTGTGATGAGAGGTTTGATAGGCTGGGGTGTCCATGGACTGGTGCATGCTGCTCCTTCCCTCACACCCTTCCTGGCTCACCGTGTGGCGAAAATTGGTCGCGCATTGTCTTCCAACATATATATATATATATAACATAACTTTATATATATATATATATATATATTCAATACATA